TGACGAAAGCAAGCGTTGCGCTTGTTCTCGTCGGAATTTTCTCCGAATCCTCCTCTCTCTCGGCAAGGCATGGTGACCAGCTTTAGGCGCATTCTTAAATGCGCCTAATGCATGGTCTTTGTTTCAGCCGACGAAGAATGCCGAGCGAGGCCGAGCCGGCCCGAAGCTGTTACGCTAACGATAGTATAGAGATGTTAGAAAGAGAGAGAGAGATAGTTGAAGGCGTGCGTGCCCTACGCAAGATTAGGCAGGCGCGCATCGCGTACCAATTAGTGCATTGGTCGCGCGCCGCTTAATAAGTAGGTCAAGTGGGGAGAGAAAAAGAACGACGAAGAAGCTGTAGGTCGCGGAAGAGAAAAACGAGCGACACTAACGGTAATAAGTCGGGTAGTCAGTAAGAATGTTCCCAGTCTATCAAACGGTCAGCGGTACGAAGTCAAAGTGCAACGGAGGAGAAAGGGCCAACCGAACGCACGCACCACCAAGGGCCGAGGAGGACCGAGAGGACAGAGGACGACTGTCTTGCTCCAGCAAATTCTGCTCGGGACGCTACTTGAAGGAGCCGGCAGGAGTTGCCCAGCGATGACCAGCATATGGTGCGCAAGGCGCAGCCAGGACTCCCGTTTCAGTATCAAAGGTCAAGTCACGCAAGTTCATCTCTCACTCTCTCTCTCTCTCTCTTTGACGATGGCACAGTGCATAATTTTAAAATATTAGGTAGGTAGCAAGGCGTGCACACGCCGGTTACCTACCCTAATTACGGTAGGTGTCATAAATCGCTCAAAGAGAAATCGCCCAGGCGATCCTTCGCCGGGCGACTTTCTCTTTTAGCTAAGTAGCCTTAGTCGGTTCGTCGTCAAGGCATTATCTGCCGGGCGACGCGCGTTGTGTCTTGTATAGATTTGTAAGCGCGATTAGTTAGTTAACTTGTTTTCTTTTGTAATGGGTGTTAAGAACATCGTTGTGTTTATTAGATTAAGAGATTGTAAAAGCTGATTTTATGAGTTCATTTTGAAATGCGGTTTATTATTATGCGGTAATTCATGTACGGGTTTGAAATATAAGTGTAAATTGATTTTGATTTGATTTAATTAGATTTGTTTAAATGCGAATTTGCGTTTGTGTATAATTCCCTAACCATCTTCATTTCTTTGCCTTCTCCCCCTTCCCGCCTCAATTACTATGAGCGTGTGCGCCTCACTTGCCCACCTTAAAAAAATGGTTAACGAACGAGCTTTCGTTATATGCTATTAAAAAATTATAAAAGTTAGGATTTTGTAATTATTACCGAGGAATTTAATAGTAGCTTTAATTTTGATATTTAACATCACCTTCAAGATAATTTCAAGGTCAAATAAATTTTTTTAAATGGTAACTCCTATTTTTAACATCGGCATTCGTAAGAGCGGAAAATTTATTAAAATTCTTATAACAATACTATTAACAAGCAAGAAAATACTAAATTTCTGAGTTCACAATATGATAAATGGCTTAGTTTTACATAAGTTATAATTTTAACTCATATTATGATTTTCAGTAGTAATTTGTATAATCTCATTTAATACGTCTATACTGTTCACATTTGTAATTAGTTGTCGAAGTATCTCTGTTCTTCTTTTATTCGTGTTATATAGGTGTATCAATATATCATTTCATGCCAACAGATATAGATAACTCTTCTTATAAATCTAATGAATTGTTTTCAACTGTACAAAATGTGACGGCAATATGTTAATTTTACTATTCTCGATTTGACAAGTAGCTTGTGATACTATAATAATAATATTATAATAATATTTTTATATGACATTTTATTAACTGTATTATAAATAATGAGTGAGATAATCCATGTAAAAGTAATTGTATAACATTTATTTATTTTTTATAATAAAGACAGTTCCTGATGAGACTGACAAAGAGGATCAGCGAAACATAGATAAAAGAAGAGATAAGATCTTTGATCATTATATGTTTGGAATGATCCTTCCTATCGTATGGATAATTGTTTTCTTCAAAATTAATTATCCACTCTGTAATAAAAATTCATCAGTTTATGGTCACAAATGATCACTTTTTGAGTGTAACAAATTTTTACGCGTTGCTGTGGAGTTGAAGTCGAATGAAGATTTATGTGACTACGAATTGCAAAAAGAAGGGTCAGAGCCCCTGTGCGTTGTCTTTACAAAACAGTCTTCTTACAGAGTCAACGTCATTCCATTATGGGCTCTCTTTTTTATATCAATTATTAAGAAATAAGTTTCTTTCTATCTTTAAGAGCAACTGTATCCTTAAAAAGTGTATGGCCTATCTCACATAATATTACAAGGCTAGAGCTTCTACTATAAACAGTGTGCCCGTTATATGCATAACTACCGTCAGTTTTCCTCTATCCTTTAATATGAGAGAATATTTTTATATAGTTTGACTTAGTATCTAGTATGCTTAACGTTATAGTCAAGAAAGAAACCCGCGCATAATACATAGGAAAAAATCATTCAATCAAATTAAACGAAACTTTGGGAAAGATAGATCTTCAGGTTCTGAACAAAAGTTCTTATAACCATTACCAACCAAAATTAATACCCGAAGATCTAGAGGTCGTCAAAGATCAAAAATTGGTATAACGTTGTATGAGTAGGTGATACACAAAATATATCCTAAATCCTATAAAATATAGATCAAACTAGGTATGTATTATGTTTTGGAGATCTCATAGCCACTTATATACCCTTATATCCTGTCTTGACATTACAATTTTTGAAAGAAATAACCTTTGATACTTATCAACTGTATTTAGCACCTTCATATATTCAAGACAATTTTAAGAGTTCTAAGAAGTGTTCAAGATGCTTCGATGGATGCTGATGATATTGAAATCATTGACCTAAATCTCGATCAATTGTTACCAGATATATTATAGATAATTATGAATATGAGTAGTATATACTGCCGGTCACCTACTTTAGGCCCCCCGCCGCAAAATTAATAAAAATTTTAAAGTCTCTGGTAAAAAATAACGTACAGAGTCGCTCGGCAGCGTGTTTGAAAGATCTTTCCAAGAACTTTCAAATGATATGAATCATGAATGACATCGATTGTTTTTTAATTTTTTGCAAACAATAATTCAACATTTTAAATTGGGAAAATTTTTTGCTAACTTTGAAAATTTGCCAAATCTGGAAAAATAATCTTACATAAAATTGGGTTAGAGCATTTTTTAGCTTTTATCAAGCTCTATCTGAATCACTTGTCAAAAAATTATTTTCGTTAAAACCGACACGCGCACGGGCATTTTTTCCGAGAAGTAATAGTTTTTTTAAACATTTTTTATCTCCGTAAATTCTAAAATTTCAAAAAAATGTATGGGAGAAAAAATGTTTGTTTTTGCAAGTGGAATACTGTATTACATTTATTTTTATTTAAAAAAAAAATTTTTGTCAATTTTTTCACAGCTGGTCCCCTAAAAATATGAAAACTATATCAAATTTTTTTTTCACTTATTCAATATTATTCTATAATAAATGTCATGAATTTTTCAAAAAATGAATTTTCTCTTTTTTTTTGGTCTTAGAAAACTTTTTCTCTTTTTTTTTGCCAAATTCATGATATTTATTATAAATATTATTGAATAAGTGAAAAAAAATTTGACGTGTTTTACATCTTTTTGGGGTACGAGCTATAGAAACAAAAATTTTTTAAAATCGATAAAAATTTTTTTTAGAAAAAAAATAGTATAATATTCCACTTGCAATAACAAACATTTTTTCTCCCATACATTTTTATGAGTTTTTAGAATTTACGGAGATAAAAAAGGTTTAAAAAAACTATTACTTCTCGGAAAAAATGCCCGTGCGCGTGTCGGTTTTGATGAAAATAATTTTTTGACCAGTGATTCAGATAGAGCTTGATAAAAGCTAAAAAATGCTCTGACTCAAATTTTTGTAAGATTATTTTTCCAGATTTGGAAAATTTTCAAAGTTAGCAAAAAACTTTCCAAATTTAAAATGTTGAATTATTGTTTGCAAAAAATAAAAAACAATCGATGGCTATCATGATTCACACCATTTGAAAGCTCTTGGAAAGACCTTTCAAACGCGCTGCCAAGCGACTCTGTACGTTAATTTTTACCGGAGACATTGAACTTTAAAATTTTTACTAATTTTGCGGCGGGGGGGCTTAAAGTAGGTTATCGGCCGTGTATATGATATATTTTAAAAAAAGTCTATTTGTTTTTGTTTGATTTATTATTTACATTATGTCATACGCTTCATACAGAAAGAAATCATCGTGTAAGACTTGTTGTTTAAGTGATCTCAGTCAACGGATTGTACATTGCAATTCTAAAAAATAACTACTGTACATTGCTAGTCACGGACTATTATCTCATCCAGCAAATTGGTTAAAAGTTTTACACGTTTCAAAGAAATCGCACATGCATAAGTGATGCATAAGTTTATTTGAAATCTTTTTCCACGAGCTGCCAAATAATATAGATGACGAATGTAATAAACTGTGTTTTAATTATTTTATGATAATTCAACATTGAAATTTTTCATTTCAATTGTCATACCTAGTTAATTTTCAAAAACAAAATCACGCAAAACATTGAAGTACAATATTTTATATCTCTTTTCCAGCCCTTTGTAAATTACTAAAACAAATCATTTTTCTGAATAATAGTACGTTTTCTACTTTTCATATCTTCATTATTTGAAACATTGGAAAAAAGCTCATTGAAAAGAAAATGTTAATTTGTTACATCGAATATTGTAGTACTGTAAGTTTGTTAGCTTCTTATAGAGAAAAAATATTTTGTAATTTCTACTTACAGCTGAAATGCTAAAAGTACTTTTTTTATTTCTAAGACCACTGAAAACTTAATTAATGTATAATATATAAATATCATCTAAATATTATTCTGTAAGACAGTTTATTTGAAAATTAAATTGATATTTTTCGTCATATATAACAATTTAATGAATATTCGTTATTTAGCCTACCGAGTCGGTCGAGCAGTATGCCATTGCAGAATATAAATAACACAAATGTATACATATCTTTAGATATTCGATACAAATCGTTTGATTAATTAACTTTATTGAATTTATTTCAAAACTATTTAAAGTTGTATATCTACAATATTACTAATACATGCTTTGTTTTACGTATTCTATGTAACTACACCGATCTTTAGGATATGGTAGTCGTAAACATACTGTTAATTCACAGTACACTGTTAGTTCCATGCAGTAGTCATTCGTTTGAGTCGTACACTTTAATGTTTATCCTAGGTTTAATATTCTCATCAAGAAAATAAATGTAAAATTTTTTACTATACATATTTTAAAGAATAACGTATATTTAAAATAATCTAATATAATTTTTACGTTTCTTCAAATGTTAAAGTAGTTCTAATATAATCGTTCCTCTTTATTCTTACTTCCTGTCATGAAGCTTCTGAGCTGATTATATAATGGAGTATTATCTATTGTAACTTACTTTATGACGTAAAAAAAATAGTTTATTTCCGTAATTCACACATTGAATGTAGTAGTAATACGTTTTATTTATATATTAAGGCGCAAATACAATTGTATTCAATAAAAAGAGATATTCATTAAAACTTTAAAAATAATTTTTTTTAGTTACGCATAGGTACATGAACACAGTCAGATATTTTTTTTATAATCATCTATTATAATTTGTATTATTTATCTCAAAATAATTTTTTCTGTAAATGAAGAGTTCTCATTTATATGCAATATTTCTACAAAAAAGCATTGTGATCTGATTAACCAGTGTAAAACTGAATAAGGAAGCTGACTATTTTTAAGTAACTAAACTACTTATAGTAAGCTGCTCTAAACTTTTATTTCCAAAAAATTTTCCGTTTTAAATCGAGCATAAACAACTGATTTTATATATTATATATATTTATAAGTGTATGTGTTTGCCGGTTAATGCATGTTGGCATGTAACTATGCGTATGTGGTTGCAGAAATTCTATTGAATTGATTGTATATATATAGGTAAGACATCAGTATAAGAAATGAATTTTAACGGGCCTGAGAAGAACTGATTTAAGAATTTCAACAATTCTATGTGCAAAATCTTCAAATAAAAAATTTGTAACCTATATTTCATTTCTAAAATATTCTTGTACATATTTGTATTAATAATTTTAAGAGAAATTACACACACATACACACCCAACTAGTGAGGCTTTGCCCCGTGCTCAGTTCGCTTGCCAACTTCTTAATCGAAATTAAATACAATTTAAACTCATGCATTCAAAGTTTAAAAAAAATTATTTTGTAGAATTACTTGGACATTATATATATACATTATGAAAGGTTTGCATACATAATATATTGCTGTTGAAACAGTTTGATACCCCCTTACCCTAGCCAGCAAAGTGTAATGGACAGTGAAAAAAAAAATACCATTCGAAATATGTCTAATTGACCCCTCCAAAAATACTCATTATTTTAATTGAATCCCTTCAGTTGTCCCAAAAAAATTAAAAACTATGATAATTTTTTTATTATTTGCAACTGCAATATCTTTAGTAATACTTAATAATTTTGTAAAGAAGCAAGGCAAAAAAATTGAACTTTTGCTCGTTTTAATTGCACCCCTCTTACTTTTTCAAAATTATTAATATATATGTCAAAAACAACAATCTAATTTTATTATATGTTCTTTCCGAATAGATTATTGGGTTATTGGGTTTTTGGAAAGAACATACAATAAAATTCGATTGTTGTTTTTGACATATATATTAATAATTTTGAAAAATAAGAGGGATGCAATTAAAACGAACAAGGGTTCAATTTTTTTGTCTTGTTTCTTTGCAAAAATATTAAGTATTACTAAAGATAACGCAGTTGCAAAAAATGAAAATATTATCATGGTTTTTAATTTTTTTTGGAAAAACTGAAGGGATTCAATTAAAATAAAGAGCAATTTTGGAGGGTGCAATTAGAGATATATCGAATGGTATTTTTTATTTTCATTGTACATTATATTTTACAGGCTGGGGCAAGGGGGGTCAACTTGATCGCCGATTGAAATTTTTTCTCTCACATACTCGGTAGAACAAAAAGCTATCTTTAGCTTTTTTAACAGACAGCGAGTTGTTTAGACATGCTTTCTCTTACTTTTCAACATTCTGTAAAAATGTATAAGATCTGTGACGTCCGAGTCACTATCTCAGGTACGTCTGAGGCGGACGATATCTCAGGTGCTCTTTTTGTGTTCGCGCCGTTTGCGCTTCAAGGATAAGAAAGAGTGTGTGCATGTGTAAAACGATGCTTCGAGAGCAGAAAATATAAATCAACCAATGATGGTTCGTAAATCATCACGAATGCCGCGCCGGCCTGCATGACGTCTGTTAGGAATGAGTGCGATTAGAGGGTTTCGAGCACTTTTGTCCGTTCGCCTTAACAACCCGCGTTGTATATGTCTTTCGTCTGTTAAACAGCTTGAATTGCTATCCGCTATTTATGATGTTTTCCAAAAATATAAGAACGAAACACATGTGTGTAATCCGAGCAATTCTCGGTCTCAGCACGCCTGGGGAAACCCAAATTGCTTGATGACCGACGCGCGCCATAAAATCACTGGTTTCTGATTCGCCACAGGGAATGGGCCCAGAGAGTAGGGAAGAGTTTTCCGTGCTTCCCTCGGTTCCCTCGATACCAAATCGAGTATTGTTAGTGAGTTCAGTTTGAACATTCAACAGCTAAGCACGGCTAACTCTGCTTATCCTTGCCGGTTCGTATCTCGCTAAGTTCCGCGCCGCTCCTGCATCAACTAAAGGTGTCCTGGACGACACCGCCACTTCTTAGTTCTACAACTCTGTAGGTGTAAGTGTGCGTGAGCGCCGAGTTGCTCCTGAACTGTTGTTGGGTAATCACTGAGTGACGAAAACTGTGTGTTCTGAGAGTGATCGAGCGTGGTTTTGTCATCAAAGAGGTTGAGTGTGTGATCATCATCGATAGTAAGGGCCAATTGCGTTGACTGGTGACGTCCGCGTGTCCCTGAGGTGTTGCCCGGGATTCAACTCTGCCCATCAGCTCGGCAACTTAGGTGTTACCGCAGTACGTGTGTGTGCCCGAGACGTCGGAGCTGCGGTGCGCCCGTGTGTGTGTAGGGCAACACCTTCCTTCCAAATCACCTGCGAGGACGAGTAAGTGTGAAATTTACCTGAATGGCCATTCAAGCGTGCGAAGCGTCATAGGCTCTGCGAGTCTCAATTGACCACTGATATATCTATATACATATAGTTATTTTATGGCTCTCTCTACCTGCATTTACTGTGCCAATGTTTTTTATGCCGGCTAAATATAACGCATTCTCATTCATTTTTTTGGTTTTCTTGAATAAATTACAATCACTAGTTATATTAAATCTCAGCGTATCTGTTATAAATTGCACACGCCTTCCCATCCTAATCTTGAACTCCCTTTTGATTGTTATTTTATGAAACTTCTAATTATCATCTTATTTATTAGCATTGAAACTAAACATTTTGGTTTGCTTGCGTACGCCTAAACCGGGATGAGCAATTAGAGAATAAGAGCCTTCTACTTCGTGTTTCGCGTTAAAAGAAAAAAAGTTTTGACTACAACTCTTCCATCGAACACCATGATCCAATGGAATCGGAACTTGTAAGTGAATATCCCAGACCTTGCTAGAATTATCACAAAAAAAAGAATTTAATTTACTCTCAAACGGCACGATTGTCTTATAGAGTATCCCAATTCCTGCTGAAATACTTCTCGAAGACTTAATTCTTTCGAGTTTCGATTTGGCTAAGTTAGCAATAAGAGGAAAAGGAAGGATAGCAAAAAATTTCGTTTTAACTTACTTTTTTTTCTTTTATTCGAAGTAACTTTCTGGCACTTGGAAAGTTGAACCTTATTCGAATTGGAACTGGACCTGGCACTAGATCGAACTTTGTAAAAGTGTAAAAGGAGTAGAAGAAGTAAAAAAGAGGTGACTATTTTTCGCTCGCGCACACCCTTTTAAAGCCTGGGGGTGGTTGGGAGGAAAATCTCCCTCTCAGCCTCTCAGAATTAGGGAAGAGTGGAAATGGCAGCAGGTTTTAATTGGCTGACTGAGATTTTCCCACTTTTCTCTTTCGGTTTTCGGGCCTTAATTGGTTCAGGGGCGTGGTGGAAATCGGGGGCGTGCGTTCAAGGGTATGGGCCCTATCTCATTAGATGGCTCTCTAAGTACCATTTTCGTTACAATTTTTCTTACAATTATTAATTTATTTTTTTATATAAATTGTTGTAGTTCATTCTTAATAATAACGCAGTTTTCTTAATATCTAAACATATTTTACGCAAAAATCTTCAATCCTACGTGTTTACAATGAGTAACTTAAATAATTTACTACATTTGTTGTTTAAATAATATGGAATGAGAAAGAAGAGATTATGTATTATTTAGGAATCGTATTCGTTTACATGAAGCTAATATATAGTCGATGGTGAACTATTTAATTAATTTATTATTTAAAAAGTGTTTTGTTGTTTTTTTTCTTGTTTATTTGAGTTTTGTTGGCACTTTGATTAACTTAATTTCTGTACAATTAATTTAAATATTTGAACGTAAAAGAAAAATTGTTAAAGAGTTGTATTTATTATTTTATCTATGAAATTCAATTTTATTTATTACAAACATAATTTTAATTTGTTTCGCATATTGGAATAATATACTATAGTTCATTTATGTAATTGTTTCTTGAATATTTATTAAATTTTCCAACTTATAGCTTCAAAACTTTTGGATATTTTCGTTAATTGTGCGGAAACTACGTCTTTGACCAAAAAGCGTGCGGGAGGTTTCAGGAAGCTGCGAATATTCCTATCATGCTACTATTTTCTCAATTTACGAATACAAAAATAATTATTAAATTTTCAGTTTAAGTTTTAGCTTCTAAAAATGGAAACTTTTGGGAGGAATCATGTAACAGGATGTAGGCAAAATTCCGTGGCTCCTTTACTCTACGAGGGTGGTCCGATAAGTACTTAGCCTCACCGCCCGATGGCGCCACTCTCGCAAAAGAAATATTCTATCACGTAATACAACCTTCTCGATGGTTACTGTCAAGATTTCAGCCGGATCGGAGTTGTAGTTTATTTTTGAGAGCGTGTGAAAGCAAGTGTGTCCGTTGATTTTTGAAAAATGGAAAA